AATAAATTAAAAAAAAAAAAAAGATTTCCTAGCCTCAACTGCAAAGATCATGCTCTAATAATATGGGCTAGGACCAGGAATCACATTTTTTTAACAAGCACTTCAGGTTACTTTTTTTTTTTAAGATTTTATTTATTCAGGTTATTTTGAAGGGGTCAAAGCTTCAGACCATAACAAGAAAATCAGAAGAAAAAGAGAATACAGTAAGAACATGTAGCCTTGCAGCACTTAGCATGTCATCTGAAATTTTCCATTTCTACCCCCACATTGGAACCTCCAAAAAAACAGCTACTCACTGCTACTTGTGCAGAATCCATAAATCTCAGTCCAAAATAGTCACTTTCAATAAGGTCCAAATGGTACATTATCTGATCAAAGAGCTCTTGTCCTTTGGCTTTTTTCTGAAATGGTAAGAAAATAAATTAATCAATAAATGACTCACAAGATCAACAAGCCTGAACTGAAGATGGTTTTAGTTATACAAGATCTAGGGGCGCCTGGGTGGCTCAGTCAGTTGAGCATCCAACTCTTCATTTCGGCTCAGGTCATGATCTCAGGGTCCTGAGATCAAGCCCCACATAGGACTCCATGCTCAGTGGGGAGTCTACTTGAGATTCTCTCCCTCTGTCCCTCCCCTGGTCATGCACACACTATTCTCTCTCTAATAAATAAATAATAAAACATTACTTGCAATACCAAAAATACTACCATATATCAGGTAACGTGTAAGATACTATAATTTTCCAATAAACTACTTAAGGCCAAAAGAGAATTTGTGATCTATATGCACTTTTGCAGAAAGTGTTACTTCCTATCAACCAACAAACATCACCTTGTACTAAACGCTGTAAGGGGAAACTCTTGTCTTGTCGATTTTAGAGTCTCTAATTCAAAGGAGCCTTATAATGTGATTGGAAAGAAAAAACACAAGAAAACTTAGAACACTGAAGTATGAATCATGTGGAACTAACTATATACTTGCCAACAGATTTTAGAGATGAGATAGTCACAGAGACTAGAAGCATCAATGAAAACTTGGAGATCAGCCTTAAAATGGAAAAGAATGTCAGGTAGGAAACAGCAAAAATAAAAATAGAAGGTGGGAGGAAATATGGGACAATGAAAAAATATGGACATCAATGGAGAAGATACCAAATGGGGAGGGAGGGTCAGTAATAAGCAAAGAAACTTGTTTGGAAAAAGCAGTTCTCAAAGTGTGGTCTCAGGACCCAAAGGTTCCCCCAGATACTTTCCAAAAGATCCACAAGGTCCTAGGATTCTCCTCACATAACTCAATCAAAACAATATATTGCAACAGAGTAAATGCAGAAGCAGAAAAGAGAATCTAAGTATGTTCTCTTAGACCAGACATTAAAGAGATAGGCAAAAGTGCGTAAGACAATACTACACTTCTCACTAAATTCTTTTGTTGTTTAGTGAAATAGCTGTTTTTCACAAATACTTGTATGTTTTAAAAAAAAAAAAAATACTTGTATGTTGCTAGGGAGCCTGGATGGCTCAGTGGGTTAAGTGTCTGACTTTGGCTCAGGTCATGATCTCAGCGTCCTGGGATCCAGTCCTGCGTCAAGCTCCCCACTCATCGGGGAGTCGGCTTCTCCCTCTCTCTGCCCGCACCAACCCCCATGCTCTTGCGCGCGTGCACGCTCTCTCTAATAAAATAAAATCTTTTTTAACAAAATACTTGTTTGTTACTTATGTTATAACTTACAAGGGGTAGATTACTGCTGTTTTAAAATTAGCCGATAGATAAATGTTTAATTTTCCAGTTTTAATTTCTAATAAGGTAACTATCAATAGATACAACCCACTTAAGCAAAAGCATTGTTGGGATCTCAATTTTCAACCATTGTCATACACATCCTACCCATGCCCCTCCTCCTATGTAATTTTATTTTTTTTTATTTATTTATTTTTTTTTTAAAGATTTTATTTTTATTTATTTGAGACAGAGAGAATGAGAGACAGAGAGCATGAGAGGGAGGAGGGTCA